ATGTATTTTATATGTTTAGCCATACCATGATTATATATAAACTATAAAACTTTCAAAAATAGAACTTAAAAGAATGGCATACAATAATATATGTATAGAAATCCTACTACTGTTCTCATTCCAATAAACCTTCAGGCGCATCCCCAGGGTGAGAACTCCCAAGTTGGAACTACTGTGCAGATAAACCTCAGATTCTGGTTTGAGATCAGAGTACAAGTATTCTTTTTATTTAGACCAGTTTAATGGATTGATGTACTACAGAGATAAAAGGAGATATTTAGAGTAAGCCCAAATTCTATTTTTTTGGATCAGCATCCTGACATACAATTTATATGTGTTAAATGTACTATTGTTGTGTAGTACAATAAGTGTTCACAAATAGACATACACAATCACTACAATAAAGATATGGCACATTTCTGTCACCTTAAAAAGATCCATCATTCCTGTCTGTTGTCAATTTCCTCCCCACATTCCAGTAAATACAAGACAATCTCAATAATGGGGTTAATTTTTTCTCACATAGAAAAATTTTAATATACCTAATGTAAATCAGGAGCAAATACAGGTCAGAGTATTCCAGAGTCCCACATGAGAGAGAATAGTTAGATAAAAGTAAAGGATTGAAGTGGAAGAAAAGTGTAGATTGGGAACCAAGGTCTTGGCAGCAGTGAAACTAGGAAGAACGAGGATAGTAGAAATTTCTTAGCCTGTGGGAGAGTAGGTCTAACATGGATGTGACGCATCCTGCTGTTAGCCTGAGAAGAGCTATAGTATAGATGAAAGAGATGGAAATAACCTCTTTGCTCCTTGATGTTTTATAGGCCAAGCAAATGGAGATAAGAAACAATACTGTGGTAACAGAATTCATCCTTCTTGGTCTGACCCAGTCTCCAGATATTCAGCTTCTGGTCTTTGTGTTGATCTTAATTTTCTATCTCATCATTCTCCCTGGAAATTTCCTCATCATCTTCACCATCAGGTCAGACCCGGGTCTCTCAGCCCCCCTCTACTTCTTCCTGGGCAACCTGGCCTTTCTGGATGCATCCTACTCCTTCATTGTGGCTCCCAGGATGCTGGTGGACTTCCTCTCTGAGAAGAAGGTGATCTCCTACAGGGGCTGCATCACTCAGCTCTTCTTTTTGCACTTCCTTGGAGGAGGGGAGGGGTTACTTCTTGTTGTGATGGCCTTTGATCGCTACATCGCCATATGTCGCCCTTTGCACTATTCAACTGTCATGAACCCTAGAGCCTGCTATGCATTATTGTTGGCTTTGTGGTTTGGGGGCTTTGTTCACTCCATTATCCAGGTGGCTCTCATCCTCCGCTTGCCCTTCTGTGGCTGTAATCAGCTGGATAACTTCTTCTGTGATATCCCACAGGTCATCAAGCTGGCCTGCACAGACATCTTTATGGTGGAGCTCCTTATGGTCTTCAACAGTGGCTTGCTCACCCTCTTGTGTTTCTTAGGCCTTCTGGTCTCCTATGCCATCATCCTCTGCCATGTGCACAGGTCCTCTTCTGAAGGAAAAAGCAAGGCTCTGTCCACATGCACAACTCACATAATTATTATCTTCCTCATGTTTGGACCTGCCATATTCATCTACACTCGTCCCTTCAGGGCCTTACCAGCTGACAAGGTGGTTTCCTTCTTCCACACAGTGATCTTTCCTTTGATGAATCCTGTGATTTATACCCTTCGCAACCAGGAGGTGAAATCTTCCATGAGGAGGTTATTGAGTAGATATGTAGTCTGCTAAGTGGATTTTATAATGAGAACTCAAGAAAG